GGTGAATGAAGGCAGGCGATATCTGCAGCAAGAACCTTAAGTGCTTGGAATGCTGAAGAAGGAGAAGTTGTTTCAGAAGAAAAAGTCCAAAGCTGTCAGTTGAAACAGGGATGCTGAGTTATGATTTGGTTATCTTAATTGCACTCCGTACACGTCCATAGGTGCTGTGATTCCCCTTTCAACATATACATCAGTGTACAGCAGTTGATAGTCCCAGTCCTATGTTGGTTGACAAGACTTTTTGTGTGTCCAGTGTGCTTGTCGTGCCAAATTTTTATTACTATTTCTTGCAGAGGTGCTGAACCACATAGGGGGTGCACAGCACCAGTGTTCATACAGGTCGAGACCAGGGCTCATACAGGTAGAGACCAGGGTTCATATGGGTGGAGACCAGGGTTCATATGGGTTGAGACCAGGGTTCAAAGGGTCAAGACCAGGGTTAAAATGGGTGGAGACCAGGGTTCATACAGGTTGAGACCAGGGTTCATAGGGTCAAGAGCAGGGCTCATATGGGTTGAGACCAGGGTTCATATGAATGGAGACCAGGCTCATACAGGTCGAGACCAGGGTTCATACAGGTCAAGATCTATCTTCACCTTTTTGTTGTCATCCCAGAAACAAGCTCCCAAATTGGGACATGGTCAGATAGATACAATCAACATCACCCCACAAGGTGGGGAACCAACAGTCTGCACACACATAAAACAGATATGTAAAACAGTTGTGCATGCAATATTGATGTTCTGGAACAAAACCAAAGTCCAGAAGCAGATGAACAGTCTGAACTTTCCTTCAAAATTTAGAGCCAGTAAATCTAGGAAGAAAAATAAGTTGGATGCAACTAATGAAGGCACTGTGAGTTGCTTGCTGTTTGTTAAGATGCACTTTCATCTGATTGGCTGCCATTTTTCTTTAGTTGACCTATGCCAGCTGAAAGAGATTTTACCAGAACCAAAGGGAAGGCCATCTAGAAACTCTGATGAAGTTAAAGAAAGATGTGAACTGTCTGTTACCTTATTCTATGGTACCACATACTTACTGCAGACTGTGACATTTACAGGTATGTTTTATACTTAACGTCATGTGTCATTTGATTATATTTTCATAATCTTTCCTTTAATGTCATCATCATCGGTTCTCTTTATGCCTAGTGGCACATGAGGCTTCAGATAGGACTTTCCATGCTTTCCTGTCCTGCGCAATCTTCAGTGCAGTTTTCCATATCAAAGATGCTGCACTCAGGTCACTTTCTATCATCGGTCTCCATGTTGTTTTTGGACACCCTTTTTTTTTTTTGTCTTTTCCTCTGGGATCCATGTGAGAGCTGTTTTGGCAGGTATATCAGGATTCATTCTAATAACGTGGCCAAGCCATTTCCATCTTCTCGTGGTTATCAAACTGTCTAGAGTTTCTTGGTTTGTGATGAAGTAGTCTAGTGTTTGAGATTGTATCTGGCCAGAAAATTTTGATAATTCCACGTAGACATGTGTGGTGGAAGGTGGATAGCTTGATCGTATCCTTTCTGGTCATTCTCTGGCATTCTTCTCCATAAAGAAGAACTGGCAAAATGATGCTCTTGTAGAGTCAGTTTAATGTGGCTGTGCTAATTTAGTGGAGACTTTAATAGCCAAATTATTGTTTTCCGAGAGCTACTTATCATCTTAAAGGCAAAAAGCTTTTTGGCAGTTCCACCATCTTCAGACTCAGAACACAACATACTTCACTCAATGAAAATCTATACATAATACATCCACAACACTCCCTAGAGTGCCAGCTATGTAATTACCCCTACACAACTGTTGAGCACCATCTTTTGAGTTCCCAAAACTCAAGGAGACTAGAAGAATGCTCCTCCCTCCGAGACCAGACAAGTGGAACACCTTGAACGGAGGAAAAGAACAGCTTGTGAAAACATGCAAATTCCACTACATTGCATTGGGCCAGAGGGTGAAAGTTCATGCGCGGCTGGATTGATAACAACAACAACATTGGCAGCTCCATGACAGAGGTCAAACACAACTAACCCAGCACCGCTAGTGTATTCACATCAGCTTTTAATATAATTTACAACAATCGATCGGCAGTTTGTCCTGTAGGTGGCTCTCACATTCAAACCCAACCGGCTGTGGATGGCATTTGCTACCTATCTAAGCTGCTGGATGCTTGACTGAGTGCTACAGTAGCTTTTTTTCTGACCAATCCATGGGGTATAATTTATTCAGAATGAATGCTGTGTTAAATTCTGGCACACCTGATGTTGTTTTTTTTTCCATACTTTTTTGATAAAGCTACTGGAACAGGTTTAAAATGAATGCTTCTTATGTTCAAGTAATAGAAGTAGAGAGATAGGAGGATACAATAAATAATCCAATAAAAAATTTAAAACTTCAGTTAACTTACCGTTTATTGAAACGGTTAATTCAGGTGGATTCAAGCTGTATAACAGACCTGGCTTTTGAGAGGGGGGGGGAGGGGGTGTCGGGCATTGAGTTGCACTTGTTCCGCAAAGAAGCATCGTAATCAGTTAATGAATGTCATATGGAAGAACTATAGAAGATCATACTGTGGAAGAAATAGTGAGAATTAGAAAGGGCAGCCTATTGTTTTGTGAGCAAAAGGATCAGATGGTTAATCTTAGACTTCCATCATGACATATACAGTGTAACAAGAGAGCTGTATATTTTAATTCTTCTTCTTCATATTCACCAGCTGTAAACTCTGGTGGAAAGTTCTGGTTGTTCATCCACTTCTGACTGCAGTCCAGAACCTGAGATTTGCTTGTGCATCCATTTTACAGATCTGACTCATTTGTATGATGTTTCCATGCAGATGCAGTCTGATTTTGAAGGAACCTCCCAATTATTCGACTCTTACAACATGCTTTTTGGGTAGGCAGTGGGTCTATTCTTGTTTTCCCTATAACAGGACCCAGAAATCAATACATGGAGTATATTTTAATTAAAAAGTTTCCTTTTATGTTGATGTAAAGTCTGTAGTATTTTTTTTTTTAATTCTTTTATTATCTTTAAAAAACAAATTTTTTTAATAACTTATTAGTCAAGAAACTTTGTTACGCATTACGGTTGTATTATATGTTCACAGCAAAAAATGCACATGATTTTAAAAACATTATTCTTGCTCTGGAGACCTGTTGGAAAGGAGTTCATGCAACGGATCCATATATTACAAAACAGAGGTGAGATGTTCATTTTAGAATGCCCCCTATCTTATTTAAAGTACATTCTGTATGTTGGTGTCATGGAATTGTCTCTATGGGTTGGCCATGGCTCCGGTAAGGGAGTTACTAAAACACGGAATTCTGAAGGTGTTGCGTGAACAGGCTTTTCTCGAAGGCCTTATAGGTAGAAGCATAAATGATACGACTGGTTGCACAGCGATGTAGGTAGAAATGACAGATGTATTATTGTAATTTGAATAGTTCCAGTTTATTAGAAATGAATCAGATGGTTCTTCTTCTTTTTCTTCTTCTTCTTTTTCTCTTCTACCTTGTACCTCAGTGAAGTGTCCGGGGGGGGGGGGGGGGGGGGGATGTAACATTCGTTTATTAGCTCTGTCAAGAGCGCCATTTCGACTGATGCTCATTTTTTGTAAGGCCATCACTCCATATTTTCTGAGGTCTTCCGCTTGCTGTATACACCTTGTAACATTTCAATGTGGCTCTCTGTGGCAGTTAGTACCGGGGCATTCTTGTTAGGTGTCCAAACCACTTCATTTGTTCTTCTTTGACGACTTGTAAGACTGGCTTTGTTCCTAGCATTCATCTGATTTCCTGATTTCATTTTCTGTCATTCCTTGAAACTCCTGCAGCTCTTCTAAGGCATTTCATCTCTGTTGTCACAATTTTACGTTCATTGGAGGATATAAGTGTCCACGTTTGGCACTGATAGTATTGTTAGCCAAAAATTAGTTCTGATAAGATTCACTTTAGAACTCTGGTGTATCTGCTTGTGTGTCAACAGGGAAGATTGTTGCCCATTACTTGATTAGCTTTGGCTAATGGTTAACCATAAATAAGACTAGAAACTACAGCAGCAGCAACAACTGTGACACCGTACAGCAACAGGTCAACCCCTATAGAAGCTTTAGTGTCCTTTAAAAAAAATTGGACAGTCTGGCAACAGTCAGCCCGTCTTGTCCAGTACAAAACCATCTGTCCATTTTTCTTCCCTCCTATCCCAACATGTCTCTGTGTGTTCATTTCAGCTTCACTGGGGAAACTCAGTACTTATTTGGTGCGTGACTCTGTTGCTGAGATTGTTACATTCGCCACTGCCATACTGACTCTCATGTTGTACACTCCTACACTTATATGCATGGATGTAGGTCCATGACAGTTGGAAAGTGATGTCTTGTGAGTTAGGAACTGATATCTGAGCACTCGGGACATTTTCATAAGCGCTTTGTTCCAATACCGATGTTACTAGTAGCAGTGGGACTGCATGTTGATGTCACTCCTCCCCTGAGTGTGGAGCTTCGGCCAGATCCCCTGGTCACACCTAGCTGCACTGCACCACTTCCTGGAAGAGGGGTGATGGAGTAGTTACATTATTTGCCTCATTCTTTGAAGGTCCTGGATACATTTTGGACAGTATGCTATCTGTCATCTGTTTTATGGAAGGTGGGCCAATCCGATGAAAACAACCCTGCCATTCCTGTGGATCAAATTCAGACCACTGTCTGGGCAGGCAAACATGGGAACTACTACACTATCACAGTCCTGTTGTATCCTCTTCTTCTCATCCTCCTTCTCCTTATTTTATTCTTTCTCTTTATCTTCTTCTTCATCTTCCTCCTCCTCCTCTTCTTCTTCCTCCTCTTCCTCTTCTCCTTCTTTTTTTTTTTCTCTCCCTACTTAAGCTAGTTTTTTTTTTTTTTTTTTTTGGTACAACATTTTTGTAAAAGGAAAATGAGTCTTTTTATTTTTTGGGGTCCTCCCCCAGCCACATGTCTAACACAATATTTATATCATTATTTTGCAGATGGCTTAGCAGAGAGTTCAGTAAGATTCATATGATGACCAATGGAATCATACCCAAGCAGAAAGATCGCAAGTATAAACATTTTTAAACAGAATTTGTATCTAGTCTTTTATATTATAATATAGTAGAAGTTGTCCCATTACAGGGCACAGTTTTTCTTTATTTTATCAACTACTCCAGCTGCTGTCAGGGGCCCTAATATAATTCAACCTATGGGTTGAACAGGGTTTCTGGGACCTGTCCTCAGGTGATCCTCATCTGAATGGTTTTTGTGTCACCGGGTGTTGATCACTCAGTGTGTTGTCCTGCTGTTGTCCTGACATCATCATCAGTCTAGTGTATATAAAACTAAATTTGAAGTCTAATAATTCCTATAAGAAAATGTTTTTCTCCTAACCCTGTCCCAGACAACAGACAGTATGTGACAAGTTACTATTCATGTTTATCAAACAATGTAAAGCAATTAATTTTTTACATTTTACCTGGGTATACTAAACAACACTGGTGAGATGTGTTAACTTTCAGCACAATGTAGTTTGCATCTTATTTTAGATTATGATTTTTATGTTACTTCTTAAATCTTCTGTGACTGAAAAGGTTAAAGACAAATTATATCTTGTTTATCCCTTCCGGTTTACAAATAGACTATGTCTTTATACTTTATAGAAGGTTAGTTGCGTATCCTTTACAGGACATTGCAGAACGAACCCCAGTAGCCCCTGGCTGTTGTGTGGTTTTCTAGGCAAATTTACGTCCAGTAGTTTGCCATTGCTTTATAGAAAGTAAGACAAAAATTGCATTAATACAAGATGCTGTTAGTCAGCTGCTCCTCTTCTTCTTCTTCTTTGCCTTCACCAGCTCTAAACTCTGGCCAAAAGTTCTGGTTGTTCATGCAATTTTTGGACTGCAGTCCTATTCCAGAATCTAAGTGTTGCATGCGAATCTGTTTTACAGGTCTGACTCATTTGTATGCAGACTGTTGGTTCCTTGCCTCTCAGGCAGGTGCACTCTGACTTCGGAAGAAGCTCCCAGTTAGTCAACTCTTACGACACTCTTTTGGGTAGGCTTTTGTAAAACCAATGCCCATGCAACACTCAGGTTCTGGAACAGGACTGCAGTTCAGAAGTGGAGGAACAACCATAACTTTCCTCAAAGAATTTACACCTGGTGAACGCGAAGAAGACAAAGAAGAAACTTCTAAACAGTTTTTTGTTGAGATAGATTTATGACATTAAAGAGCTTCTACACTGACACGAAAGGAGAGTGGCCGAAAGACAAGACTCCTTAAGAGGAGAATACTGACCTAAAGGGTCAAAACCAACACCATACTTAAAAAAGAAAGCTGTGTAGAACAATAAAATTGAAACAAAAAATAAAAAAACTTCCGGTTTTATGATTAAAAACTTTTCTGTTTTTGTAAAAATCAAGGATGCGATCACAAGAAGAAGATCAAGAATGTCAGAATTGTGTTCTAATTGTAGAGCTCAAAAACTTCACAGACGCCATCTGTTGTAAATAACTGACACATTGATAGCTTTCTGTCTAGCGCAGGTGCACAGTCTGAAAATGCAGTATTTGTAATTAAGTGGGGTCTGTTTAGTGGATTGTTGATGCTAAGGGAATTTACAAAGAATTTCTGAAACTAATTGGAACCACTCACTGTGGCTTTCTTCACAAGCCACTCTTGACTTTTATTCATCACACAGACTGCTTTTGCAGAAGTAAATAGATCCTGCATAAGGATAAACATAAATTACATAGTGATCTTGACACTGAAAATTTATTACAGACAAAAAAGAATTTAATCTAAATGTAAAGAACAAGCATTGAAAAGAAAGTACAGGGTTCTGTGTAAACCACTATTTCATGACTGATGTTTTACCCTCCCAGGACATCACACAGAGTGATAAACACCATGTGACACAAAGTGCCACCACTCAGATAAGAATCACATGTGGAGAGGTCCAGGAAACCCCGTTCAAACCATTGTTTGGGTTTAATTAGGGCCCCGAGCAATATCTAACGTGGGGCTTCAAAATAACGAAAAATTGCTTTCCACATATGATAATGGGTTTAATAGAATCGCTGGTTCAGGTAGGTAGGTAAGTTGTACCCCACCAGGACATCAGACAAGCGATAAAAATCCGGTAACACAAAGTGCCACCATGCGGATGAGGATCGCCCGTGGAGAGGTCCCAGAAAGCCCTTTCAGCTGTTATGGCCACATTCATGGCCCGGCTATATTCAGGGCCTCCTGGCAAAATCCAGGGTGGGGCTTCAAATAGCGAAAAATTGCATCTCACAAGGGAACAACTGTGATAGGAATATAACACTGGTTCATGCTTGCTTGCTTGTTTGTTGTACCCCACCAGGACATAAGACAAGCATTAAACTCCCAGTGACACAAAGTGCCACCATGCAGATGAGGATCACCCATGGAGAGATCCCAGAAACCTCTTTCAGCCATTTTGGCTATATTCAGGGCCTTCTGGCAAAAGCCAGGGTGGGGCTTCAAATAACAAAAAAATTGTACCTCTCATAGGGAGTATTAGTACTTTTACCCCACTAGGACATCACACAAGCGATAAACATCCGATGCCACAAAGTGCCACCATATGGATGAGGATTACTCGTGGAGAGGTCCCAAAAACCCGTTCAGCCATTAGGCCTTATTTATGGCTGGGCTATATTACAGCCCCTGGCTGTAAATTTCAAAATAATGAAAAATTAGCATCTCACAAGGGGATGAGTTCGCATAGGGACAACTGTCGGACATATTGTGTTATCACTCATCTATACTCTAAATTACAAACCTTTTCTTTATTTTATGTGTTCATTGTAAACAACCGTGACCACTACACGGGTTAACTTTCAAATGCCATTATGGTTACAATGTTTAATTTAACAGTCACATTGGTAGCCAGCTTTATATGCAGTTCCTTTATTAATTGCAACAGTCAATATAAGTAAACTTTTGCTGGAGTTTTATCCCTTTGATCATTTATTCCTATTGATTTCCTTGAGAATGTAGTTTATTTTTTTAGTGTTACAGGGGATGCCTTGGTTGCACTTAAGGGCAGTGACTTAAGATACCGCAGGGTGTAGACAAAAATGAAGTAGAAGATAAAAAATTAGATAAAGGTTTTAGTAAGACTACTATTTCCACTAGGCCTATACATGGGGCAGAAGTGGAGACCAAGATAAGGTAGAGGATGGGAGAATAAGACTTTCTTTCACTATTCTGGGTGAAAAGGGGCAATTAAATCTAGTATGAAAAATAGGCCAATCACCTTTACTTCCTAGGGTGTACCTGGTACCTGTATCAACTGGATAGCTCTAGAAAGGACAATTAGTATTAGAGATATTTTATTCAACCCTGAAGGATTGTATATGCTAGGAGAAGAAAGAAAAACTCAAGTGGCTGCATGCATAGCAGGAGGCCACAGCTATTCGGTGGCAGTTCATCCGTCAACAATTGTTTTGGCCCGTTTATCCCCTAAACCAGCGGTTCTCCACCTATAGGTCACATCCCTTTAAGGGTCGAATGACACATATTCATTGAAATTATCAAGAAGCCGCGAAAATAATTGTATGGTTGGGGGTCGCCACAACATGAGGAACTGTATTAAAGGGTCGTTGCATTAGAAAGGTTGAGAAGCACTGTACTAGACAATTGCGGTGATGCTGGCTGACCTGGGTCATGACTCCTGGGTCTCAGACTTCTCCCACTGTGCTGGTCAGACCAGACATTGTTATAGCAACAGATACTAAGGTTATGGTGATCACCGCTAGTGCATTGTAACAAATAAATTGCCTGCCTAAATGAGGCTGATTAAAACATGGATGGCTGGTTCGTATTAGAGCTGTATCGAATAGGTGATTATCACTATTCAGCCGAATATGAATAACAGGACCAAATATTCGGCCAAATACGAATAGTGAATAGTGTATAAAATTAAATATTTTTTTTAGATCATAATGTAAAATATACGCTGAACTTTTAACTTCACAAAATGTAGTACAGAACAGTAAACATTTAAAAACATTTGATGTTTTGTATTCTTCAGTCAGTCTATGGTAACTAATAACTAGGAATTTAAGTATTCTAAGTATTATAACAAGTAATTTGCAGTAGCTGCAGCAACCGCCGTAAATGCAAAAGTGGGTGTAACATAACCACTATTCAGCCCAACTGCAAGTATTCTGCTGAGGTCCACTATTCTGCCCCAAAGCGAATACAAAGTGAATGTTCTGTACAGCTCTAGTTTGTATATCACCAGATCATGTTAGTTTATCCTGTAGCATCAATTTCCTAAATTCACCATCTATAACCTCACATAGAGTGCTTTCCAGTTTGCACCATGACAACTTGTAATTAATGTCATATTTATCATCCAGGCTGTATACGTAAGTTACAGTGTCATGTACATTATATATATATTATCCATATGTTACGTTACTAACTGTAATGTCATATGTATCATCCATATTATATGCATAAACTGTAAGATCACAGATTTCATCCGTGCTGCATATGTAAGTTATAGTGTCATACATATTTTCCATATGTTACATACATTATCTATAATGGCATGTGTCATCCATGCTGCATACATAGGCTATACTGTCATATATACTACTCATATGTTACGTACATTAACTAGGTCATGTTATATTACTCAAGCCGTCAGTGAAATTAGGTATGTATAGTGGCGATCTGCTTCCCTTCTGATGTGTATAATTTTCTTTTAAACTTTGTGAATATATAATTCTTTGATCTCCAAATTCCAATACTTTTGTCAAACAACAATTTCTCTAATCATTGTAACCCCCTCTGTTTGTTGGCTGAAGGGATAATATTGTACAGATTATTTTATTTTGCATAGTTTATGATTTCTTTGCATCGTAAAATATGTTCAGCTGTTTAGCTGATTTTATTTCTGACTTTTCATGTTGTAAATTTAATGAGTGCTTTTAGTAATGTTACTGAGAATATGTTGGTTAGTCATTTGCTTAGGTGACTGCCTAATTTGTTACCACTTCTTCTTTTTCTGTGTTCATCTTTAAAAGGG